TTAGAAAAGGAAGTACATTGTGACACCTGTACAATAAGGATGAAAGGAACTTGAGAACGCTGTGCTAAGTGAAATGAGCCGGATGCAGGACACATGCTGTGTGATCCCTCCCTCCCTCCCTCCCTCCCTCCCTCCCTCTCTCTCTCTCTCTCTCCCCTTCTCCCTCTCCTTTCCTCCCTCCCTCTCAAATAAATAAAATTGAAGAAAGCACGCGTGCTTTCTCTGCCTTGCCTCCATGTATGCAGTGAGCAGTGTACAGGCCCACCCTCGCATCTCCGTCTTGGGGGTACGGAAGCACGCTCAGGGAGGTGACAGGCTGCAGCCAGCTGGAAGCAGGGGCCGTCTTCCCTGCCCCAGCTCAGCGACCAAGCTCCCCTGCTGCCGAGCCCACAGAGGCACAAATCAAAGAGCAGAGGCGCTCTTCTCAGGAACCGCAGTCACCCCCTTAAGGAACACGGGACCCTGGGAGCCGACTTCCCCTCCCCGGCCTGGTCCTCGTGCTCGCTGTGTGGCTTCTGCATCTTAAACAAGGTTGTTCCTTACAAGAGGCCGAGCAGACCGCGTTGGCTTCACTGCAGTGTCCGTAGCAAACGCTTGAGTGACCGGCACTGTGTATTCTGATGACTGAGAGCTGACATCTGTGTTAGGCCTCTCCCGTATCTTGTGACGTGGTTCATGAAAGTCCCTGCCCTCCGGGAGAGTTCAGGCGCAGAGTGTGGTCTGGCTGAGTGCTCTGGGCCTTGTCGCTCCTTGAGGTCCAGCAGTAGCAGAACTCTGCCAACAGCCACTTGCCCTCAGGCCCTGCTGAACCTGTCTTGGAATAGCAGGTGGGAGCATCACAAGGTCATCTGGAGGTCAAAGAGGGAAACGCTGCCATGCCTACAGGGACCCCCACGGTGCTCCAGGAGAGGGTGGCCTCTGAGATGGGGCTTAGAGAGCTAGAGGTGATTACATGTGCAGGGCCCAGAAGCAGGAAGTTAGCACTCAGACTTCAGAGACAGGGGTTGATCTACTTAGGAGGCTTCAGAGGTCATACCTGTGCAAATGCGTGGATCCTGGAACCGGTTTTGTTCTGCAGTCAGCCTTGGGAAGCTGGAAATGGGATGCATATTCAGGAGAGACCTGCAATGGAGGCCATGTCAGTGCTAAGGAGACCAGTCAGGGAGCGTTTGTCGTGGACCAGTCCCTGAGCTTCTCAGTTAAGGCAGGAGCACGTGGAAGAATCATTTTCCCCATATCCTCTATACTTGATATTATACTTTTCAGTTTTGCTTAACTAATGGGTATGAATTTGTTTTTCATCATTTTAATTTGCATTTTCTTGATTACTAATGAGACAGAACATTTTTAGATACTTTTTCCGAATTGGTGGGAGGTTTGTTTAAGATTCATTTTAGTATTAATCTTTTCACTTTTCAAATATTTACATGTATCTTCTCCCAGACTGTCCCTTATCCTTTTACTTGTTTATAATGTCTTTTTTGTTAAGAAAATTTAAATTTCATGTTGTCAAGTCTATAGATCCTCCCCCTTTAGGGCTGTTGTATTGCTGCCTCATTTAAGAAATCTTTTCCTGGTGCAGGATGATAGTTGCCAGTCATTCCAGTTTTGATTTTCCAGTTGAGGCCTTTGCTCCATATTGGATTTATTTGGGGGCCTAGTATATGGTAGGAATCTAATATTTTTCTCTGTAGCCAGGCTGTGGATAGTCAGTCCCACCTCTCTTAAACACTGCCCCGCACCTGCTGAGGTCTCTTCCTGGGTTGTTTATTCTCTTCCATCGAAAACTTGTCTATTCATGTGCCAGAACCACATGGAATTAATTAACATACTTTTGTGGTCTGATTGATACCTCGTAGGGAAATGCCTTCTCTTTGTTCTTTGGGTTTTATTTATCTTTGACATTGTCTTACCTATTTGTGTCATTCATTCTGAATTTTGAGAACTAGTTGGCCAAGTAACCCAATGGACCCTTGGGATTTTTATTGGAACTGCCTTGAACGTGGCTCAATAGGCTAATCCTCCACCTTGCGGTGCCGGCACACCGGGTTCTAGTCCCGGTTGGGGCGCCGGATTCTGTCCCGGTTGCCCCTCTTCCAGGCCAGCTCTCTGCTATGGCCAGGGAGTGCAGTGGAGGATGGCCCAGGTGCTTGGGCCCTGCACCCCATGGGAGACCAGGAAAAGCACCTGGCTCCTGGCTTCTGCCATCGGATCAGCGCGGTGCGCCGGCTGCAGCGGCGGCCATTGGAGGGTGAACCAACGGCAGAGGAAGACCTTTCTCTCTCTGTCTCTCTCTCTCACTGTCCACTCTGCCTGTCAAAAAAAAAAAAAAAGAGAGTTGACATCTGCACAATATTTAGTCTCTTTGTCCATGAACAAAATATTCTTCCACATTGCTTCAGCCTTTTCATTTCCCCCAGTGAAAGACTACCATGGCTTGAACCGCATTTCTGTTTGTTATTTTTTTTAATATTTATTTATTTGAAAGTTACACAGTTGGGGGGGGATCTTCCATCTGCTGGTTCACTCCCCAGTGGGCTGCAATGGCTGGAGCTGCACCGATCTGAAGCCAGGAACCAGGAACTTCTTCCGGGTCGCCCACATGGGTGCAGGGGCCCAAGGACTTGGACCACCCTCTACTGCTTTCCGAGGCCATAACAGAGAGCTGGATTGGAAGTGGAGCATCCGGGACTCAAACCGGCTCCCATATGGAATGCCGGCACTGCAGGCATTGGCTTTACCTGCTACACCACAGTGCCACCCCCTGTTTGTTATTTGTTCAGATGTCCATTACTGAACTCCAGACTACAGATCAGCTCTGCAGTAATGAAATCTGTAATGAAGAATACATTTTACAATAGTGTGGGGTTATATCACAGCTGGCTGGTAGAGAGAGCTATCTTTGTCTTGTTGAGTAGCTCTCCTTCCTCTGTCAATAATAATTTATTAAAATATACCTTTTGGCATCGCCAAGCAAAGGTCTTGAGGCCTCCACAAGAAGTGGGAGAGAGGCTTCCAGGAGAGACTTACAGCCTTGGTTAACATCTGTTCCATCAGCTCAGGGTTTAGCAGTTGTTCATCAGACACTAAATCCATTAACTACATTACGTTCCTGTATTTTCTTCTTTTTTTTTTTAAAGATTTATTTTTATTTATTTGAAATTCAGAGTTACAGAGTGAGGTAGAGACAGGAGCTTCCTCCAGGTTTCCCAAACAGGTGAAGGGGCCCAAGGACTTGGGCCATCTTCCACTGCATTCCTAGGCCATAGCAGAGAGCCAGATCGGAAGTGGAGTGGCCGGGACTCGAACCAGTGCCCACGTGGGATGCCAGCACTGCAGGCAGCAACTTTACCTGCTAGGCCACCGCGCCAGCCCCTCTTGCAGTATTTTTTTTTTTTTTTTTTGACAGGCAGAGTGGACAGTGAGAGAGAGAGACAGAGAGAAAGGTCTTCCTTTGCCATTGGTTCACCCTCCAATGGCCGCAGTGGCCGGCACGCTGCAACTGGCGCACTGCGCGCTGATCCGATGACAGGAGCCAGGTGCTTCTTCTGGTCTCCCATATGGGTGCAGGGCCCAAGCACTTGGACCATCCTCCACTGCACTCCCTGGCCACAGCAGAGAGCTGGCCTGGAAGAGGGGCAACCGGGACAGAATCCGGCGCCCCGACTGGGACTAGAACCCGGGGTGCCGGCGCCGCAAGGCGGAGGATTAGCCTAGTGAGCCACGGCGCTGGCCCCTCTTGCAGTATTTTTAAAAATGTAGTGTATACTATGCTTTTGAATGGTTTGATAAGAAGAGGAGTCTGTGCTGGTTTTTAAGTAGCTCTGAACACTGGTTCACGGGATTACCCCAGAGGAAGCAACAGTACTAAAGAACAAGTGCATTTTTTGTGAGCTGGAAAGGCATGTGATTTTCATACAAATGTCGATGTGACTGAACTCCTTATTGGAGAGACCAAGGTTGAATCTGTGTCACGTTAGCTAATAATGAGAAATCACACGACATGAAGAAAATGTGAGAAGGCTGGGCATGGGCGAATAAAATTTATGGAGAGAGTGATTTCTGTAATGCTACACGGAAATCTTGGATGCAGATTACCTTTAAAATATGGAGAGTCATCTTAAGAAACCAGAATGCTTCAGCAGGAAAGGAATATGCCAAAGACAGTGCATCTCTTAATTTAAGCAAATCCTTTGACAAAACTTTCTAATTTACCGTGGTTTGAAAATACAGCAGCGTATGGCCTGGGATAGCAGTGGAAGATGGCCCAAGTCCTTGGGCCCCTGTGCCCGCATGGGAGACCCGGAAGAAGCTCCTGGCTCCTGGCTTCGGATCGGCGCAGCTCCGGCCATTGTGGCCATCTGGGGAGTGAACCAACAGATGGAAGACCTTTCTCTCTGTAACTCTGACTTTCAAATAAATAAATAAATCTTAAAAAAAAATAAAATAAAATACTGCGAGAGCGGCTAGTGTTGTGGCATAGTGGGAGAAGCCACCACCTGAGACACCAGCATCCCACGTGGATGTCAGTTCAAGTTGTGGTTGCTGCGCTTCGATTCAGTTCCTGTTCATGGCCTGGTAAGACAGCAGAGGATGGCCAAGTGCTTGGGCCCCTGCCGCCCACGTGGGAGACCCAGATAAACCTCCTGGCTTCTTCCTGCCCATTGCAGCCGTTTGGAGAGTGAGCCCACAGAAGGAAGATCTATCTCTATTTCTCTCTCCTCTTTAACTCTGCCTTTCACATAAATAAATCTTTTAAAAAAAATTCTCGCAAGAGATAAAATGGCTAACCGGATAAACAGGTTCTAAATTGGGTGAACATCTAAGGCTTCTCGTTTGTAGATGACATCTGATCTGAAGTGTTTGGCACTGTAAGGATAAATGTTGTACTTGCTGTGGAGGGACTGGGTAGGCAGTTGTAATCAGTTCTCACACATCTCGCTAAGCTACTCCTTTAATTAATTAAACTTAACAACGTTGTTGTCATTTGTGTTCTCCAGCTTCCAATTGTGGAAAAGATAAGAAAGATTGCCCAGGCTGTCTACGGAGCCAAAGATATCGAACTCTTTCCCGAGGCACAGTCCAAAATAGATCGTTATACTCAACAGGTAAGAGGAAGAAATCCACCTTAGCCTCTTGAAATACTCACTTGGATTTGAGGACCCATAGTCTACAAGGGTACTACAAAAAGTTCATGGAAATGGAATTAAAAGATAAGTTTGTGTGCAAAAACTTCGATATCTATGGATGCAAAGAGTTTTCAAAAAGTTCATGGAAAATACATATTATGAAAAAACCAGTGGCCTGTGTTGTGGTGCAGGAACCTGTGTGAGCACTGGTTCAAGTCCCAGCTGCTGCACTTCTGATCCAGCTCCCTGCTAGTGGGCCTAGGCAAACAGCAAACTATGTACCAGGTGCTTGAACCCCTGCCACCCACGTGGGAGATCCAGATGAAGTTCCAGGCTTCTGGCTTTGGCCTGGCCTAGTCCCAACCATTGCAGCCACTTGGAGAGTAAACCTCTTTTCTATCTCTTCCTGTCTTTCTGTAACTGCCTTTCCAATAAATAATTAAATCTTTCAAAGAGAGAGAGGGGGGCTGGCGCTGTGGCGTAGTGGATGGAGCCACAGCCTGCAGTGTTGGAATCCTATGTAGGCGCAAGTTCGAGTCCCGGCTGCTCCACTTCCAATCCGGCTCTCTGCTGTGGCCTGGAAAAGTGGTGGAAGATGGCCCCAAGTCCTTGGGCCCCTGCATCCGTGTGGTTAATCCAGAGGAGGCTTCTGGCTCCTGGCTTCGGATTGGCACAGCTCTGGCTATTGCAGCCATCTAGGGAATGGACCACTGGATGGAAGATCTCTCTCTCTCTCTTTCTCTCTCTCTCTGCCTCTGCCTCTGCCTTTCAAGTGAATAGATAAATCTTTAAAAAAAAAAAGAGAGAGAAACATGCATGGATATCAGATTTTTTTTGCACCAATATAAACTATGAACTTACCTTTTAATTCCATTTTTTCCATAAACTTTCTAAAGTACCCTGTTTTGTCTCCCCAGCTGAACTGTGCTTAAATCTTCTTTGTGGTCGACAGGGACACGCTCGGCTTAGCTGTGTTCAGAACATTATGGTGAGGGAACGTATTCCCTGCTGTTTGCAGCGCTGACTTCCCTGGTTGGCAGTGCCTAATGTGGGTGGTGTCCGCCTGTGTGTGTGATGTGCCCTCTGCTGTCTCTAGCGCTCAGCCCGAGACGTGGAAGCTGCCCTCCGGTGTGCAGCTCTGGGGCCTGATTTAGATGCTTTCTAGTATTTCACTGCAGCTCTTTCGCTGCCTTCTCAGCATTGACACACAGGAGCACAGCACATCCAGGTGGGGAAGGTCTGTGTTCTTTCCCTGCCAGGGGCTTGTTGAAGCCTCACGGCTTTCTGCCTCTAGGGAGTGACTAAGGCAGGTGACGGTGGCTTTGATCTGGTTGCACGAGCCACTCCCTAGTCCCATCAGGGTCATCATAGGCCAGCTTCATTGCGGACTGCTCAGGCAGTCTGACCGAAACAAGCATATGGCCTGAATGCCCCTCCCAGTCTGTCATGCGGTAGAAATCGGGCGCCTCCACAGCTTGCCGCCAAGACGGCGTCATGATGAGCAGCACTGGGCCGTTTGTTTGAGTCCTGTGTCCGAGTCGTATTTGACGTCTTGTTTTGTATTACCAGTGACTGCCCGGGGTGCTCTCCGGGGTTTGGCGGGCTCACCAGAAACTCACTGTTCTTAGAGCTTTCCATAAATGCCCTTGGCTTCTCCTCCTTACAGAAGATTCCCAAACCCTGCTGCACACTCTGGGTTGTTCTGTGGTGAAGTTTTCATTCATGTTGAATGAACCCAATACAATAAGGTCATTGTCTTAAGATTTCCTTTATTGTTTCCCACCATGAGTTTTTCATAATGCTATTTAGGACCATCGTTTGTTCAAATATTAAATCTTTTCTCCTGCCTTTTTTTGGTTTTTGTCTTAAGCTTTTCTTTTATGAAGAGGATGATGGTACATGGCTTCTTTTTTATTTTTTAACCATTTCTACTGACAATTTTTTAATTAGCCCAACTTCTGTCAATTCATAGAAAATATTTCAATAATTGATCTTCAGTATCCAAAACTCTGGGCACCATTTCTGTGAAGCAACTGTGATTGATACTTCCCAAGCAAAATTTCTATTAGCACCTAAAGGTAGGGGTTTCCAAATGAGAAACGCCCTTGGGAATACTCAGAAATCCTCCAGGTAGTTTTGGGTTGAATCTTGCGAAATTCTGCATGGGTTACCTCTCTGCATGGGTTATCTCTGCCCATCAAGGGGATGTTCATTAAAAGTCACGTGCCAAGTGTGTGGTTGCAGTTCATTAGCAGAGTCTCTGGGGGAACACTGTGTGCCATTTAATCAGAACCAGCCCACAAGGACAGGGTCGTTTTTGTGAGACTCCACATGTGACTTCCCGCCCTTTCACCTCTAGAACTCCGGGTCAGGCATAGACTTTGGTCCTTAAAAAAATCCGTGGCTTAAACGGTGACCTCATCTCAGTTCCTATAATGTAATCACACATCAAATAGCTGTGATTCATAACGCGGCACAAAGGAGCCCTGTGGTTCTCAACCGGTCCCAGGAACGAGTGCACGACGGGACTGAAAAGCCTCTGTCATGACGGAGACTTTCCCTCAGCTCACCTTGCTGTGTCCCAGACATCTAATAGTCCAGGAAAGCAGGACCTGCAGCTGCCACCACCTCTACCACCCCCCCCACCCCGAGCACACCATGACACGTGTGCCCTCTCTTAGAGGCCCTCCGGAATATCCAGCCGAGCCCTCAGCTTGCTCAGTAAGCCATGGCCACGGTGGGAGTGTTTCTGCTCAACTTCCTGCTCGCACGCAGGCCCAGGAGCATAACAACCTCATCCGTGGTTTCAGTTAACCACAGTCCAGAAATATCAGATGGAACATTCCAGAAATAAATAATTCATAAAGCTTTAAACTACTTCTATTAGAGTACATTGTTAAAATTGGTCTATTTAATGATTTCTTGCTGCTGTTTATCTCTGACTGTGCCACTACAAGACATTGTAGGTATGTTGGTATGGTCCTCGGTTTCAGGCATCCACTGGGGGTCTTGGAATGAACCCCTGTGGATAAGGGAGGACTATTTTTATAACAAGCAGCCACCGTGTGTGCCTGCAGCAATTGTACAAATTAAGCCTTTGTGTCAGTGAACACGTTTCTTTTCCTTTCCCACAGGGTTTTGGAAATTTGCCCATCTGCATGGCAAAGACCCACCTTTCTCTGTCTCATCAGCCTGACAAAAAGGGTGTGCCAAGAGATTTCGTCCTGCCCATCAGTGACGTCCGGGCCAGCATAGGCGCCGGGTTCATCTACCCTCTGGTCGGCACGGTGAGTGCGTAACAGTGTCCAGAAGCCCTCCATCCCGTGATGTCATGATCCCTGGCATCACCACACTCTGCCAGCTGTCTGCAAGCACCCATCGGGGAGTAATTGATAGTTCTTGCTGCTTCCAGCACACCCTCTGCCGCCGTGGCTCGAGTTTTCCTTTTTTTTGCATGAGTGTTCAGGATCTGTAAAATCATAAACCGCCTTCCCTAGGACAAGGAAGGTAATAGATAACTCAGGAGAATTCAGTTGTTTGAATGGTTCAGTGCTTCCCTGGAATGATAATGCTGTGCCTCAGAGTGGGACGGGACAGGACCAGCCCAGCCACACCCAGGGCCAGGCCAAGCCTCCTCTCACCTCTGCCTTCTTGCTCAGCACATCAGGTGGGAAGGCGTGGCTTAGAGAATTTGTGAATCGTGTGAGTTCTTGTTGTGACATTGTCATGTGTTGCTACCGGATGATCATCGTGTTATTTCAGTTTATTGGTGGAGGGGAGAGAGATGATTAGAGACACAAGAGTTTACCAGAACATTTACAGTCCACGATGGTGAGCTTTACACATAAAAGGCATTCATAACAAATTCCCTTGTCATAAACTGTGTGCAGACAAGGAGTGAATGGGCAAAATGTGCAGAATTCTTCGATATTTACACATTTCAGCTCATATTGGGCACAGTGTTTTCAGTAAGCATTTTTTGGATTCTTCTTGCATGTGAGGCATGGAGATTCTAAGGGCAGCCCATGTGAGCAGCAGAGTTCAGATCGCAGAGGCCTCTCTAATTGTCTTCAGGGCCCAGGGCAACAGCAGGGGTCAAGGGTAGAGACTGATGAATATGTCACAAAGGGCTCAGTCTAGGAGCTGGAGAAAATAGGAGCTCCTACTACAAGCCATAGCATCACAGGCTGTCTCGCCCGGGGTGGGCAGTGTGGCTGGAGTTGGAGAAATGGGATGGGGGAGAGCAGGATCTCAAATGCATCTTAAGGAACTTGGATTTCGTGCCGTGTATACTGGGGAGCAGTAGCTGCTGGGGTTGCCTTTTGTTTCTTAGGGATTTTTTTACATCAGAAGGAAAAGAAAGTGGGCCGATAAGTATTCAGAAAAGTTGCTGTGGAGGCCACGAGTAGAGGATTTCGGAAAACGAGAAACAGACTTAGAAGAGTTAAATTGGCCAGGGGCCATTAGAGACGTGCTGCAGCCGCAGGAATGGATGCGGAGGGTGGAGGTGGGTCTGAGAGGGTAGCCACCTACAGTGGGCACTGGGGAAGGGACCCTGCGAGCTTGGTGGCTCAGAGCAGTGATGCCGTCGCTTGTACAAAGAACACAGGAGGGCAGCAGGCTGGCTCGGCCCAGAAATGAGTGTGGCTCGGGCAGAAGAACGTGAAGGGGTAACAGGAACACAGCGGAGTCTTTGCGCCCCCCGCCACCCTATCAGAAATGCAGGCACTGGGCTCACAGGCAGGGAACTCTGACAGTGGTAAGAATGGAGGCCAAGGCAGTCGTCAAACAAGGGGAGCAGCAAGGATAACCCGAAGGCCAAGAGAAGAGGGAAAAGCACGCCGCTGCAGAGAGGGCCATGTGTCCATGGCTGTGGACAGCAGCCCCGGGGCAGGCAGAGTCCTAGGAGCCTGTTGGGCAGTGGCCGGCACTGTCCGGAGGAAGGGATGGTGATGGTGTTGATACGGGGGAGAAGGTGTCGAATAAGACGGGTCTACTTTAGGCACACGCTTCAGATGAGTGAGCCCAGGATTGGGGGTGGATGGGGGAGGGTGCTGACTGCAGAGGGGAAGGCGGGGACTTTGGGGCATGGCAGCGGTGTCTGTTATGCTCAGGGCAGTGGTTCCACAACTCAAGGCCAGCAGGCTTTACAGGTTGAATATTGTCGCGTGTGACTTCGTGCACCTCGCTATGTGGGTGCTGAGAACGCTTGCAACCATGCGCACTGGCTCCGGTGGGCGAAGGGCTCAGCTTAGGTATCAGGACAGCTGGGCAGTGTGGGTCCAGAGAAGTGGGACCACCAGGGGAGACGCGGGGCCGCGGGGGTGCCAGATGGGGCATGAGAGAGATCTTCTTCCATCCTCTGGTTGACTCTCCAAATGGCCTCAATGACCAGGGCTGGGCCAGGCTGAAGTCAGAACCCAGGAGCTTCTTCCAGGTCTCCCACATGCGTGGCAGGGGCTCAAGCACTTGGGCCGGCATCTGCTGCTGCTTTCCCAGGTGCATCAGCAGGGAGCTGGATCAGACGTGAAGCAGCCGGGACTCAAACCCGCACCCATATGGGATGCTGGCCTCACCGGCAGCAGCTTAACCTGCCAGGACACCGCGAATGTGTCCAGGGCCTTGGGGACCCCACACAGAGGAACTTTCTCTGCCTCAGCAGCTCACCGCAGAGAGGAAGATAAATGTGAAGTCACAAAAGCAAATGATTTGGTGCAAAAATTGTGTTGATACCTCTGTTTGCTTCTGAGCACTTCATGATCATTTACTGAAAATCACAATAGAACTTAAAGTCTTTGGGTCCTCTAAGCAAGCGTATCATACTTACCTCCTCCCTCCACAACCAACAGCGCCACATCCACCGCCAGGTAAAGACCGAGGCAGTTCTGGGAAATCAGAATTCATTCCCTCAGCCTCGCCTCCCTGCACCAGGCTGGACGGGAAATGAATGTGTGGAGCGGCCCTGCAGGAGCAGCTGCCGCTGGCCGCGCTTCCCCTGTGCCGTTATCTCGTCTCTGCAGCACCCGGCCAGGTTCCTCGCGCGGCCACACACGGGACGCAGCGAGCGTCAGTGCCGGCGGTGAAACCCTCCCGCAACAAGCGGGTGTGAGGAACCAGGAAGGAAGCTGGGCCTGGCCTTACAGTACAGGAGTTCCTGGAAGTCAGGAAGCCGTCCCTCGGGGGCGGTGGCCTGAGCGGGCGCTTTCTCTGACCGGGCAGGAAGCTGCGTGTGCGTCGGGCAAGTGCACGGCCGCGGCCAGGATCTCCTAATAAGGGCTGGTATTTACTTTGACTCCACTTGACCCCGTTCTGGGCCCTGCCACGGGCTGCTGAAATGCTTGTAAGATTCATCACCCATGCGGGAGAGAGTGTAGCAATTTCCTGCTGAGATGACCAAGGGCAAGGGCATGGGGACACTGCAGGTGGGAAAATTCTAGCGTAATGAATCACGGTGATGCTTAGTCACTCAGTATGTGTCCTGGAGATGCATATTCATCTGTCTAGTCCAGAACGTCCAACCTGAGACCTCAGTCAGAACAGTTCTCCATTCTGCAGCGTCCACTCGTTCATTCATTCAGTTACTCACTGAGCAAATCATCATGAAATGCATGCAAGGCCAAAAACCACATGGAAAACAAGTACCGATCCTTCCTTCACAGGACTTAGGATTTACTCTCGTGAATAAAACTGTACAAGTGCAGGACGCTGGGGGCTTTTAACAAAGGGAGAAATCCCCTCTGGGTAAGTCCGTAAGGCGGGGCAGGGCGCCCTCTCCCTGCAACACAAGCAATGCTCCTGGAACAGTGAGCGTCACCAGCATGGCTGACCTTGGGGGGGGGTCACTTGGAGAAATGCTGCAAAGCTCAGCTCTTCTCCCCTGCATGTTGAGTTTTCTAAGCATTGACTTTTTCTTTCCGTGTTTGCTTTTAGGCCATATTTTTTCTAATATTGCATTGTTCCATCCTGTTCTGTTTAGTTATCACCTTAATTGGCGCTGGCCCACACAATCAAATCATAGCAATAAGTGCCATTAACTGATGTGGCGGCTTTACATTTGGCGTCCCCATGCTGTTGTACAGAGGTACCGAGTACCTGGATTCCTCAGCTTGTGCCGTCTAAGACCTTAGCTGCCTTAAACAGTGAGGAGAACACTACAGTGTGTCTAAGAAAAGGAGCCAACTTTTCCTTCCTAAAATAACTTGCTGCATTCCTAATATACCTCATGTATATTCTTGCCTCTTTTGATGGCACTGTACTTAGGTGTTCTCTCCAGCATATTAATGAAAACTGTGAAATAGTACAAGACTCTTGAACAGCACAATGCCACTTAGTGCATCTTTTTCTAAGAAACTGCTCATCAAATAGAGATCTTTGGACTGGGAGCAGAGCGAGTCATTTTTTAAGATTTTCCAACCCTGTCTTCTATAAATTGCCTCATTATGATGTCTTTCCAAACTTCTCTCCAAGCTTATGGTTTACCTAACAGCTTTATTAAATTCAAAAAGTCTAAAGCCTGCCTCCTCCAGAAAAAGATGAGCAGGTGGTTTTGGGCTTTGGGTCCCATTGTTTCGATAGCAATGTTAAGTCCCTATAGTCTACAAGGACTCTTTAATCAATTGACATACATTTCATGGTGTAAAAATACTAATGTGTCAGCAAAGTGTGTAAGGTGATATTGTTGAGAAGTCAGTTGCTTTTCATATAGAAAAAGAATAGGAAGATGACACCAAAACCTTCACATAGGGTTGTGATGTGATGAGGATTGTCTTCTCTACTTCGCTAGTCCAAAGTACTACACTGGACATCTGTCTTATAAAAACAAATACAGTCAGTTGCGGAAGGGGTGGGCGATAAGCTCTACGTACTTGGGGGGAGATGTTCACCTGGGGCCAGATAGTTTCAACAATCAGAATAGGGGGCCGGCTCTGTGGCACAGTAGGCTAGACCTCTGCATGCGGTGCTGGCATCCCATTTTGGCACCGGTTCATATCCCAGCTGCTCCTCTTCTGACCCAGCTCTCTGCCATGCCCTGGGAAAGCAGTGGAAGATGGCCCAAGTGCTTGGGCCTCTGTTCCTGTGTGGGACACCAGGAGGAAGCTCCTGCTTCCTCAGATTGGCCCAGCTCTGGCCATTGCAGCCGTTTGGGGAGTGAACCAGCAGGTGGAGGACCTTTCTCTCTGTCTCTTCCTCTGTCAGTAATTCTAGCTCTTGAATAAATAAATCTTAAAAAGAAAAAGAAAAGATTCAGAACACACATGGAGTCAGGCTCCGCTCCGTGCCATTTCTT